AGACTGCCAGCAAGTCGCTACACATGCAAGACCACCATCTACTTCTAGCGCAGCCACGTCATCCTTCCAGCCTCTCGCTAAATCGAACATCGGCATTAGAATGTTGGTCGAAGTGACGAGTGTGTATAACGAGCGGTCAAAGCCCGAGGCCCTCGTGTCAGCTGGCTCTCTAGCGATGGGTCGTGAACCTTGCAAGTCCTACCCAGGTTGGGGCATAGTTACACCTGCTCTGGGCAATGCCTCCACCAAGCACATATATGATGAGCGGGAAGATAAGACGGGATGGATAGTAGGACGCATTAGTCAAGAGCACGGTATCTTGACATGGGAGGGCGATAGGAGCGAATGCAACGAGTTGACGATTGGTGATAGGGTTATGGTTTGGCCAAACCATGCATGCGTGGCTGGTGCAGGATTCGGATGGTATCTCGTGGTCGACTCAGAATCAGATGGAGATACGGTGGTGGATGTCTGGGTTAGATGGAGGGGCTGGTAAAAAAGGCGACGGACATTCACATAATTCGCATGCTCCATATCGTTCATCATGCCACTTCCGCCAGCCCTGAAAAGTGTCCAATTGCTGTAGTGAGAGCATTCCAAACAGCCTCTGAGCCGTCGCCCTCTTGACTCTGTGGTTTTGGTGTAAGGACTATGGGTAACGAGGACTCAAACAACAAAAATTTCGGGATCTCTCACGGCCTGGCTTGCGCATGCATTCGATCGCCGTGACATCGCCCAGAGTTCGATTCTCGCAGTATCTGGCTTCGGAAAACCTCACGCTTCTTGTGCTACCGGTCGCGAAAGGCTGCTGACGACTGTCGTCACATCTGTTCCCGCTTCTCGTATGTGTCTACACTGACCTTTCCGTGATTTTCTACCCACGTAATTTAATGCGGGACAGGCTGCATCTCGCGGTGTGTAGCCTCTGGTGCGGGTCCGTCTTGTTCGTCGGGGCCGAGTTTTGTTGACGGGATGGAGACTACGTGTTAGGTCGTCTGCTGCTACGACATCGCAAGAGGGTAGTTCGCGCCATTGTTTCTCGCAGTTCTGGCCATGTCGTCTAACTTTCTCTTCTTTGGCGGGTGAAAGCCAATCTCTGTCTCAGTGTCAAAAGTATGTTGCACGGGCTGGTAGGCGTAAGTAGCAATGGTAGTTGGTGGAAGCGCAACGGCTGCGACGTGAAGTTTGCGTGTCGTGTGCACTGTGATTGGACACCCGTGGCCTCAGCCGTCAGGCACAAGCACGAGATTGTAAGTTTGTGCTTGCAGCCCGAACTCGAAACATCCCGCTGAGATCGGCCAGGCACCGTGGCGCTCGTTAAACTTACGCTCGAAGCTATCGATGACGTCTCCTATGCGCTGCGCCGTTTCGCTGACTAGAACATCAATGGGGCCACGACTAGCCTCGGCACTTGGTGTGCCCGTGGACGACGACGGCAGCATCGCGGGATCATCACTCAGGGCAGCCATGGAAAAGCTTGGAGGCGTCTCTTAGTCTGGGCCAGGCGAATGCATTGCATCTTCTAGCGCACACAGAGGGCCTGGGTGTTGGGTGATGATCTGGCCAAATTACCTGCTTGACACGCTTGCACCTAGGTAAAGGTGGCAGCGGGGCCAAGGAAACGGATAACTGTAGTGGTGCGCGCCGCTGGGGATAGCCAATGCCAAAGTTTATTCTTGTTTGAGGCTTGTTCGTCTACTTCTAGTTGCGATAGCTGTGTGGTGGAGAGCGGCCACCGCTTCCCCGCCCTGCCTTTGAATACCAACCGTCCCGGGCACTAAGGCGTCCGCCAGACTTGTTGCGGTCAAGCCTCCTGCACCACCTGCAGACCTCCTGGCGACCAGAAACCCCCGTCTCTGTGCCAGATCCCCAGGCTGATCTGTGACCTGTGACCTGATGACTGACGAACCGAAGGGGTCCTTGAACCTTGGGACCGTGTCCAGTCTTCTTTCCGCCATCTCCGGCACGTTGAACATTTCCATCCCCTGCGGCGTCGACCCTCTTCACACAATGCCATCCTTCACCATGCTTCTTTAAGAAGGCCCGACGACGATACACCATTGCCCCGGATCCTCCCACTCTGTGTTTCGTGCTTATGCACAGCCCGGATCCTTGAACAGCGAGTTGCGGCTTGCATTGGCTTTGGCTCTTGTAGCACCATAATCCGAGCTGCTAGTCACATCAACTCGCCGCCTCGCCATGGTTCCTTTTCGACGCTTATCGCAGAGGGGTCGTCGCAGCTTCGAAGACCGCGACTCTTACGAATGGCAAGACGAACGAGATCAACGCATCATGACGGCAACCTTCCCCATACACCCGCTCGCCTCCATGCAGGCGCCCTTCGAGGAGTCCATGCTCGATGCAACCGGCGAGACTGGCCATGTCCCTTTCGTCAATCCCAAGAAGAGCGTCAAGACACGCCAACAGATGTTGTGCAGAGAAGAGAGCGCGTCAGAGCCTTCATGGAACTTTACATACAACTGTCATTGGAGAAACAACCCGAAAAGCAAATTTCATCCCCTGACGAAGACCGTCGCGCAGATCGTCTTCGGCGTCCATCTGCTGCATCAGCATCTGGAAAAGTCGGTCGCGGATGTAGCAGACATCCTGCTGAAGCATGTCAATGAGCTTGACAGCTTCTTGCAGAGGGCAAACGAAGATCTGGAAAGCAGCATGAAAGACATGCTCTTCCGACATAAATGCTTAAAAGTGCCCATGGAACACGTAAACGAATTCGATCGCCTCCTTGAAGACCGTTCATACCGCGCCCAACTTCTCGACGGCAACATCGTAATCGAGCGCACCATCGGGCGCATGTCGCAATTGCTCAACGACTATTTGATCGATATAAACGTATTTCGCGAAGCCAACCAAGAACTCGACTTGTACCTGGGCGACGTAGGCGACGCGTGGACATACCGTAATGAGGACATTGGGCGCATATACTCAGCCATGTGTGGCAATACTGGAGGCTGGTCGCAGTTTTTGCAAAGCCTTGTGGCAAAGGCTGAAAGACTAGGTGTTGTGCTCGTACAAGTGAGCAGCTACTGCAATGAGATTGAGAAGCGGTGTGGTGCTGCAAGTCGCCGAAGTTTGGTATGGCCGCCTATGATTCCCCATCCCATCTTAGCATCGCCAGCCGGATTCTATGTCTGAGCCTTGTTAACGAGTTTAGATTGCAACGCGTTCATCCTCACGAAACTCGTCCAACTCGCGCGAAGCACGTCCGTTCCGAAATTTTGCCAACAACAAACCTCTTCCTACACCTCCGCCCGAGCGCCCGCCATTCATGAATGCTTCGTCCTCTGGTAGGGAGACCCCTGCCAGTTTTGGCACTCCTCAGAGACATTCGACCATAAGAGCAAGACCTCAACAGCAGCCCGAGACCACGAACGTGTCCGACTCCACAGAGACGCCAAAACGAAGCGAAGACTCTTCTTCTGCGTCAGCCATCTCTAATGTTGACATGGATGTGCGACGTCAGACAAACCAGACGGGGTACTACCGTGATGCCTGGCACAATGGAGAGCAGCGTGGAGGAGCGACACTACAAGCAGAGTCTAGTCGCACAAGTCAGCTCTTGGGACATCAGCATAAAGTGTCTTCGCCATCTAATTTATCTGCAGAGGAGAGCTCACCAGCAACGAAACGTCTATCAGCGAAACCACAGAACGGAGATTATAGCCCACCTTTAACCGGAAAAGATTCGGCATACTCTTCCGTGTCAGGCGCATCGGCCATGTTACCAGGCTTCGCATCACCCCGCTCAGTATCTTCCACGTCCTCTCGACAGACTGCCCAATTCGGTCTCTTCCCTAGCAGAAATCTAAGTACGCCGAAAGGTTCGATATCTAGCCGACTAGGTGCTAGTTCTCCGGCGTTCGATCGTCCGGAACAGCACCCTAAACCCGTGGATATACCGAATCGTCCACCGACCTCCTTGTCCACCTTCTCAGACGCCTCGACCAAGCGGCTATCGAAGCGAAGTAGCTTCACATCTCTCAAACGGTTATTCACCAAGAAGAAATCTGGCGATATAGGCCCCATCGCTGAGTGATACCCTCCTAGTTTGATCTTTGTTGTTCCCTGTGCCGTCTTTGATCTTATTGTCTGGCGTTGCAAGGCTATATACCCCTTTGACACTGCGTTTTTTGTATTGCGCAATCCAAATCTTATAGTCTCTACCGTGGCTTGTGCCCGGTCTTCTGGATGGTTTACTGGGGCTTCTGGATGTATATATTCTTGCTCTCGTAGATGTGATGCGGAAACGAGCAATGCGTAATGGGTTTGGCTTCGTGTATGGAGATGGTCGTGTCAGAAGGCACAGTCGTGCGGATGAATCTGGAGATGCGGTGGCCCGTTATGCTCGTTTGGGGGTAGTTTGTGGTGGTCGTTGCACACTGCGTGTATCGCGTGCAGTGAGCAGGCGAGGCTCGGGAAGGAGGCGCAGGAGTGCTAGCTGCCGATTGCTGTGTTGGTGTCTCATTTGATGCTCCCGTCCTGGGGATATGAGAAGCTGTACACACAAGTAAGTAGGGGCCAGTCTCAGTCTCGTATACATCTCTGCCACTGATTCTTTCTGCATCCTCCCTGCATTCTTCTCGTCGTCGACGTCTGTACCTTCTTCCTGAACAATCGTGGTGGGGTAGCTCCTGTCGTAGTGGACGTGAAGTAGGCGCGGATCTCGCCATCAAAACAGCGTCTCCACCGAGCTCCCTCCGTCTCTTCCCCCTCCCCCACCACAGCACTCATATTCTCAACAGCACTCTCCTTTTGGCGGAGATGTTGGCGAGAGTTGTGTAAAGGTCACTCGCTCTCGTCTTTCTTGGATATCTGCCGCCTGGTGCAGTATCGCCTCTTCTTTTTGGTCATACCAATAACTCCTACATCTTTCTGCAATACCGCAGCTAAGAGAGCTTCCACCGCAACAGCGTCGTTCTCGCCCTGCATACAGCCCTTGATTGCTTTCCTTTCTCAGTAACTCTCGCATCGACGGCACTATGTTGCTCTCTGAGCAAGATCCGAATGGCGGCGGCCGCATGTCTCGAGCCTCCAACGTCTCCGCCCTGAGCCGAACATCAGGTAAACCCGCATCGCGGGCACCCAGTTCTGAGATTCAACCTGCTCTCGATCGCGGTGTCTCGTCTATGCTCCGAACCGGGACCGAGATGGGCAACGTCGGCATCGGCGCCCAGTTTGACGACTTGTCTGGCATCAACAATATGCAGCGTCCCATGCGTTCGCGCGCGACCAGCAGGATGTCGACAGCTTCTTCCATGTCCAACACCTCTAGCCGAGCCAGCAAGCAGCTCCGTCACTTCCCTTCGTCTTCTTCCGCACCGCGCCAGCCAATGTCACATTATGGGCAGCAGTATGTTACCGATACGCTCTCTCCAACAACGATGAACGCCTCCGGCTCATCGCCTTTTAATGGAAGGGCCAAGAGCGACAGGGACTCGCATCGCTCGCATTCGATGACGCATACCATACAGCCACCCAGGTTCGGCCTCGTAAGCAACAGGTCTCTTACCAGTCTGCGCCCTCAGCCGGCATCTCGATCTTCGAACTCATACAACTACCCGATATCATATGGGAGTGGGCTCAGACCGCCTGGTCCATACCAGAGATCAGTCTCACCTGCCTTGGGCGACGACGCTCGACTACCACCCCAAGGATTACAAGCGTACGACGACCAACGAGTTTCTTATGCTGTCTAACCACAGAGCCATGGCAATCCAGTACGTGCATACTACAACCATCCGCAGCAGCATGCTGGGCAGAGACAAGAATATCGTGGCTACAGCAGCCGGCACAATCCGGGACATATAAGGGCCGCGAACCCGTCTTCCCGATCTACCATGAGTCTTGAAGATCGTGCCGCCGTCGAGGACGAAGAATTCCCTGTTTACGGTGAATCCTATCATCGCGATCAGCCCAGGCAGATGCAGAACCTGAACAGCGGACATCTGATCCCTCGTAAGGCGCTGGGCAACGTCATCCGCGAGGCTCGCTTAGAAGATCGAAGGGATCATAGGCCTAGGGGTGGTGAGCCTCGTTCAGAGGCTCCGCCATTGCCCGTTGATCACAAACACCGTATTGCTGTCGAACAAGCTCGTCTCAAGAGGTCTGCGCCTGCTTCCATGTCCAGTTTTAACACGAACTTGCGTACAGACTCAGACCCACCATCGTCTGACATGGCCCTACCGCCAACTCCGAAAGATGGCATCTCTATAGAAGTGCACCGAAGCCTCGATAGAACCAAGGTCTTCAAAGTCGCAGATACGAACCGCCTGGTCGTTACAGAAGAACATTCTGCGGTGCCACATCATGGGATGGATGAACAGCTCGAACGTAATGAGGCTGGAGAACCAGGAGCTGAAGCGATCCCTATTAGCTTCACAGACCGGACCAAAATCGTCGTCCAACAGTCTAGTCCTGGTGAAGCGACGTTGAAGAGTGATCCTTTTTTAGGACAAGAGGCACGACCAATGTCGATGGAGGTCGTGTCTCCCCAGTCATCAAGCATCGGCCATATCGTAAACGGCGTTGCGGAACTCCCAGCGTCCCCAGTAGCTCGCCGTATCACGAGGCATTTGATCCTAAGAGGACTGGAGGCTTCAACGACGGACGATATCCAGTCTTCCATAAAGTCAACGAGCTTTTCGGGGGCATCTCCATCGCCCGCGGGGAAGCCCTCGTCGCCGTCAAGAAAGTCATTGGTTCCAAGGTCTCTGTCCCCGAAGTCCCTGACTCCAAATTCTCCGACGACGTCAAAGACGAGTGAGTCCACTCAATTGGATCGCCTACCTGATGGAAAGTACTCTGCATCCGATATGATATCCGGAGCCGCATTGGGTCCGGTAGACAGCCCAGATAACTGCCATAGCATCTTGTCGCAAACTGGATCCAGCCTTCTTGATTCGTCAACACTTGAATTTGCAATTCAACATTCCATACCAACAGCCAAAAGCGGTGGCTTCCGAAATGAATCTGGCGTTCAACCTGATGTTTGCAAGAACACTGTCAGTCCTGGCCACAGTACCGAGGATGGCATGTCGGATGTCCTTGCAGGCTACCAAGGAAACGATTCCAAGAATGGAACTGGCGCTCTTGTGCGAGTCGGGACGATCAAGAAAGACATGAGCGATACGGAAGAGCATACAGATGTTTCGACAGATCACGACTTGAAACCACTGCCACTTGCTCTTCGCTCCAGGAACAGCCACGTCCAAAAGTCGTCCGATGAACTGTCCTTCAAGTCGTGCACAGATCAACCAGAGGCATCTTTAGAGTCGACATCGTTCCAGATGGGAAAGGACCCTGGCAAAGGCTATTCTGCGTCTGCGATCGATGTTGTGTCCCAACAAGATAGATCTTGCAAGGAAGCAGATGCCTGTTCTGTCGAGATTTCTGCAAGTCCTGTCCGGGCTTCCTCCGTATCATCATCTCGACTACCGTCGTCCAACTTAGGGACTCTGGTCATGAGCCAAAACAGGGCGACTACTGAGGTGCCTCGGTCAAAGCCTTCCTCTGCTATGCTTCGCAAGCAGCCGCCAGTGCCTCGCCGAGAATCAAGCTTCTCCATCGTGGCAAACAGACTGCGGACCAATTCAAAGCAGAACATGAAGCAAGGCTCAGTATCGGTGTCTGGTTCGTCATCCACGCTTAGCACCACGCACATGACGCCGGTGGTCCCACCACGTGAGTCTTCTACTTCAAAGGAAGCTCAACGTGTGCATGCTGCAGTCTCTTTCTTAATGCGCCCACTACCATCGCGCTTTGCTAGGTCTCGAAAGTATTCCGAGCAAGGCGATCTGCCGAGGTCAGATGAGACAAGTCCATCTGCTCATGATGTGAATCAAGACGTGAGCGATGCCACGAGCTGTGATGAGGTCGCAAGTTCATCCCTGCCTGTTGTGGAGGTGCACGATACACCAAAAGCTACATCATCCAAGCCAAAAGGGGTACCTGCCGTGAAAACGCGAGCCATTACCTTTGATACACCACAAGCTTGCAACCCGTACAAGGTACTTGGTAACAGCCCGCTTCCTGTTGCGCAATACGGAGATCTCAATAGCCCGACCCCTGCCACCTTGGAGCCCTCATCTGTGTATTCAATGCAAGATAACTCTTCAAACTCACATGCAGACTCAACGGATGGAGTTGCGGCTGTTCCGGTACCTAATTATCGCGACAGCCAGACTACTACACACTTAGAATGGCACCGCTATGCGCCCTCTGCGACAGGTGGTGGAGCTCAGCAATCGCTTCCGTCAAGCGTTATTGCGACTCATTCCAACTCTTCTGCCTTGACCCCCTTAGCCAACATTCAGGAGGACACTACAACGAACCTCAGGCTGTCCGGATATAGGTATCCTGGTCCATCTCGTTATCTGCCTGATCTGAAAGAGGAGTCGCACGAGGACTCGAGCCTCAACACGAGTGCCAGCAACCTAAAGGGCTCGAGTTTCCGCTTTCCGTTTGGGATACCGTCGGGTGTTCGGGCTTCGGGAGAGGATCCGATCAATTTCTCGAGAAGGTCTTCTATGGTGTCGCGTCGTCAGAGTGTTATCGGTAGCAATGTTGGCAGCGCGCTTGGTCAGGCCCACGGCTTGCCTTCGATGCGGTTCAGCCGAATGAATCTGTTTGATGGTCTGACCGACGAGCTCGGCCTCCGCTATTCAAGGTCGATGGAGGAGGTGCCTAACGCGTCGCATAGAATGAGTAGAGGTAGTCCACTGCGACCTGCATCAGCAGGTGATGTCACTGGAATGCGCCTTTCTCTCGCAGAATTGAATGAGGCCGAGCGCTCAAGATTGTCAATGCAGCCTACCGCCATGATGAGCTTGTTCGCCATGCATCGTGCGCGTTCGCCGGAGCTCATGGCGGAGATTGAGCGGCTAACTATACCTTCTGTTGGGGGCCTCACGCAGCGCTTTTCGGAGTTCTTTCCGTCGTTGAGGGAGTACTATCAGTGTGGTGAGCCATCTGAGTTTCCGATTGAGGAAGGGATCGAGAAGCACGCATTGGAGGAGATTCACGAGATTCATCCGACGCAAAAGCGCTCTTCAGCTCGACTTCGGCCTATGCGTGGCGTATCCCACATGGTCGTTATGGAGGACGATCTCTACGATGAGATTACGAGCAAGGAGAAGGGGAGTGGCAGTCCAGGTCGTCCCAACGATGGGGGTGCTGCAAACAGCGCTAGTGAGGCAGACTCAATCGCAGACGAGTCGGCCTACGAGGACGACGTGACTGCCACCCCAACACACAACAAGACAGCTCCGCTTCCAAAGCTTCAAGTTCCGTCACCTGCTGTTTTACGTCCACGTTCCCATACTGTCGGTCCTCAAGAGCTTCGTATCTCAGGGGATTCGGCTCTGTCGTCAAGAAGGTCTCTGAGATCGATCGTTTCGACACCCACAGCAACCGAGACGCGTCCTTGGAACTCGGACAAGAACTATCCCTGGGCGACGTCAACAAACCCCGCGATCGAGATCTCACTCCCTCGTCCAACCGTCTCAAAGCACTCCCCTCGCCCTGGTCCCTCCCATCTCCGCAACAGAGTCTCTGACGCGAGTACTGCGAGCTCTTTCTCGACTGCTCAGACAGCTACAGCATCGCCCTTCGGTTCACCATCTGACAGCACTGCACACGCACGTCATCATCGCTTCAGCGCCTTTGGCCGTAACGGTGATCAGCCGCACGCAGTCGGAGAACGCTATCCTACGTCAGCTTTGTCTCCCCCTACGGCCATCTTCCGCGATCACCTTTCTGCCTCTGACACTTCTGACGACGAGCATTACGACACGACGCACAAAACCAGGCTCTCGCTGCGGAAGCGGTTTTCGTCAACTCGCAAGGCTAAGCTTGATAACCAAACAGCTATCCGAGCTAGCAGAAGCAAGACCAACGCACAAGACCTTGCCTCGCCCGAGTCTACCAAGCCGTCTACGAATTCGATCTTGCAGGACTGTGTTGGTGAAGCTCAAGCGTTCACGTCATCCACTACTGCAAACCGCCATACCTTCCGTAACGCGGAGGGCATGAGAGCAGTTGACTACCGCAAACATCGTATCATCGACCGCATCAAGACTTGGTGGCACAAAGGCTCATATTTGATTCGGCAACTATCAACCCGCAAGCAATCCTCCACTACGGATACTACAACTACTTAACAGCCATGAATATGTATACCCAATTCACGGTCTTCATCACTCCCGGTGGTCTGATCTGGGTGATCCCCCACTACCAGCAGCTTCCCTTGTATCCTCCTGACACACCTCCCTCGTCTCCGCCTCCGCCGCCCAATACGCCGGAACCCGGTGCGGACGTGGAGGATCTGATCTTGTACGCACCGGCAGTTGGTCCTGATGAACCTTACCGCTACTACTGGCACCATGTTTGAAAGGGTTATGGTGGTTCTCAGTAGTTTACCTTCTCTAATCATCATGTATACTAGGATATGAAAATGGGTGGTCTTCACGAGGATATGACACACGGTCTTGAGAGATTATAGCTAGCTGACTAGCGCTTCATACTAAGAAAGTCTTTGACTGGATAAACACTATCTTCATGGTGACATGTGATGTTTGCGGAGTCTCGGTAGTCGCTTAGGTACACTTATGTCTGGATATACGTACGTGGTGAGCGTGTTGAAGGCGTACAAGCCTCATCATTCGGTTTGAGGCTGTTGGCCGATAGTTCTGTGAAGGTCTACATGCACGGCAATGGCACATGGTACTATACAAATAAATACTACCGCATGATCCTCGATCTACTATGACCTCACTACAGGTCAACATAAGAGGCTTCGAATACTATAAAGCTATAGTTTTAGAATGTATCCAGGCGTTGTGTGATGCGTTGTAGGTATACTGGCGCTACATCGGAGGGTAGAGCAAATACAGGTATGGTAATGTTAACGTGTTCCACTTCAATCTTTTAGTCCTCGTCATACAAGAACGATGCTTCGACCGGGAGTATATATACGTATGCAGCGACTGACTTTGGTATTCATTCGCCCCAGCTAACGTGGCCCTGTCCATTTATTGATCAATTTGATGATTATACATGGTCTGAGGGAGCAGCATCCTTGATATACCAAGTTGAGAGGAGAAAGGAATAATAATACGAAATACTGAACATATGTAGCTGTAACTCAGATTGCGTTGAGGAACGCTCTACGTTTTTTCCCATTCGTAGCAATCCGTGATCATGTTCGTCATCCTGGAATTTACTAAAATTACGTCTCGGGTCGAATGTCAAACATGTGCAGGATGCCTAGTGTGTCGTCTCACGGTCAAGAGCACATATCTCCAAAGGAACGCGTAATCAAGTCTGAATCATTCCATTTCGTGTATATCCAGCTTCTAGAGCTGTTCATAGCCACATGTCTGTTCAGACCCTTGGCACTCTTTCATAACCCTTGTGCGGACCAAGCCCTTATGCGGCGATGGTAACCTCAACCTCGACACCGGCCTCGATGTTGATGATGATCTGCTTGACGACCTCAGTGGGGGCGTGGAGGTCGATGAGGCCTAAGATGGCAATTAGCTGCTGTTCAAACCAACTGCCTGGAGCGGTATGCACTTACGCTTGTGGATGCGCATCTCGTATGTGTCCCAAGTCTTGGAACCCTCACCGCAAGGAGTCTTACGGGTGGTGATCTTCAAGTGCTTGGTGGGCAGGCGGACGGGGCCCTTGACGCGGAGCTCCTTGTTCTTGGCACGGTCGATGAGCTCCTGGCAGACCTTCTCGAGGCTCTTGACGTTGCGGGAGGTGAGGGTGATGCGGATCTGGAACCACAGTCAGTAAACGGCCTTGCGCGCATAGCATTGGGGGAGACTTGCCTTGTGGATCTTGGGACCCTCACCGAAGTCCTTCTCGGGCTTGTTGTAAGACATCTTGTCGGGTTGGAGTGTTGTGTTGTTGTAAGGTACTGAGTTAGATTCCAGTCACGACCTGGATCCTCGATCGCGGTAATGTGATGACTGGGGTGGCGTTAAAATTGGCGACGGCGTTCGGAGTCGATAAGTTCTTTCGCGACATTTTGCATCTGTGGGCGACAAGCGCCAAGATTGCGGACGCTAGAGCCGTATCGGGTATCGCTCCCTTTGGATCGCTCGGCAGGCGGGCCCATGAGCCATCATGACTACATGACTGCAGACAAACACCAGAAATCGAACCGTGAATAAGCTTCTTTTACTCCTCCTGCATCGCCTTGCACCTCACGCCTCAGCCTGCGCTTCGAACTTACTGCATTTCCAATAGTGATGTCGCTACCCCACTTCGCGCCTTTTCCAGATGCAAAAGTCAGAAAGAGCATACTTCCCGACGAATGGCAGTTATACCTGGACTCCTGGACTTCACTAGCTGAGCTTTATCTGAGGTTAGAGGACCAGCAGTTCTCAGCAGCAATCAAAGAGGAGGGTTCGCTTACACAATTCCTGCTGTCTTTCTTCCATGAGCTCGCCCTGGATGATGAGCTAGCATCCAAAGTTGCGTCATTGCGAAAGAAGGCTTTCTTTTTATTACACAGGATCTTGACCAAGGAAGATGCACCTACTGCCTTGCTCAGCTGGTCAAATCTATCAGATATTTGTCATGTATATCCAAAGAGCGAGCAGTTTCGTACGCTCTTGCAGGGGTCCTGGAGGAGAAAGAGCGCGGCCATCGAGAAGTCGTTACAGACTGCAAAAACGTCTCTAATCCGGAATTTGGAATCGAAGCGGCCGGAAGAGGCTGAAAAGACACTTGACCGGATTGCGCCTCTTCTCAGGGCCTCGTCAGATGCCAGCACCTTCATGCTCACAGGGTCAGACTTCCTCGATTCTCTCCTTGCCGCATATCCACAAGTACCTCAATCAATGCAGAAGAAGCTAGTCACGACAGCATATCTTGGTCTCACAGCTGCATTAGAGGGGCCAAAACCTAATTACTCGTTGCTTTCCGATCATTTGTATAGCCTGAAATCCAGCGAAGAGCAAGATCAAAAGAAAGAGCCCGGGAAGAAGACGTTGGTGGCTGATCTTGTCACAAACACGCCGTTGCTGGAGAAAATAAGAGAACAGGCTACTACTCCCGAAGCTGCAAGAGTAAAGAATACTGCAGCATCATTAAGCGCATCTCGGCAATCGGGTCTAGCTCGGCCAAAGAGGCTAATTCGACGAAAGGTAGATAAAGGCAAAGCCAACGCGGACCAAGATAGTTATGGACATGGAGCATTCACTGGTGAGATCCATGTTCATCGCATGAGTATGATCAGTCAAATACAAGATCTCTTCCCAGATCTTGGTGCAGGCTTCATTGTGAAGTGCTTGGATGAGTACAACGACGATATTGAGCAGATTACTGCGCATCTCTTAGAAGACTCGCTGCCGCCGCACCTCTTCGAAGCAGATCGGAGCGAGAAGCTGTAAGTTTGTCGATTATAATCACGCAATTCTGCCTTTAAACAGAATCACTAACGAGTATTAGGCCTACGCCAGCTACGCCTTCACAACCACTGCCCCCACCCAGATCAAGCCAACATATTCCAGAACGGCGCAATGTGTTTGATGGAGATGAGTTCGATCAGCTCGCAATCGACACATCCCGACTCCATATGGGCCGAAGAGGTCAAGACCTGAACGCCGACAAGATATTGTCTGACCGCAGTAAAGCGCCCGCCAAGTCAGCCATAATGGCAGCTCTGGCGGCCTTCGATTCAGACGACGACGAGCGTGATGACACATACGATGCGGAGGATGTTGGCGCATCTGTCGACACTGCCGCACCTGGGCCTGGTGAGGATGCTGACCTGGGCGACAAGAACGAAGAAGCTCTATTCCGCGCCTACACCATGTCACCTGAGCTTTTCGGTCGCGAGTCAGAGATAAGAAGGGGAAAGGCTCGAACAGCACTCAAGAGCGAGACGGGTATGACGGACGAGGCGATTGAAGGTTGGGCTATCATGATGGGACGCAATCCCAGGCAATTCCGGCGACTCGAAGCGAAGTTTTCCAACTTCCATGGTCAACAACGGGAACTTCAATCAACATCATGGCGGGATAGTCCTGCAGGATCTGGCGACGAGGGTAGTGGTGACGGGCAAGGTGGTCGTGGAGGCAGAGGTGGCGGCGGTAGAGGTAGAGGTAGAGGCCGCGGACGTGGTGGTGGAAGAGGTGGCGCTAGCGTCGCAGGTCCCGCTGATGATAAAGGCACGCAGATCTCGCGGCAACGAAAAGAGGCCAACAAGAGTTCGAGTGCCAACCATAATCGTAAGGCTCAACGAGGGAAGAAGATGGCTCGAGCTGGGTTCTCAGCTAGCTGAAGGAATTGTGTCAATTCACAGATCCATGGTTAATAGATATGGTACATGTCTTCCTGCACACCGCGTCTTGAAATACCCAACAATAGTGCGATCATGATCGAGCGCTTGAATTAGAGAAACATGCACACCCTTTCACGGTCGATTATCACACAATTTCTCTTGAAGTTTTGAATCCAAACAGTTATGTAAAGCAAAAAGTGTTGTAGCATTATCAAGGGACCCGATGGCGGCTGGAGCATTGGTCCTATCTAACAACCCCGCACTCTTACCCAAAAAGTTACGGAAGCCACGCCTACCCCTCTTCGAATTCCCACCGACAAAAAAAACATGTCTGACAAGCTCTCCGACGGGGAATCGACTGTTGAATAATTAGAACACGTTCATCTGTTTTTGGATAAGTGTACACATACACCCCGGTCTCCCGCGCTTGTAAATCCTGAAGACTTGACAAGCGGAAATCATGACCACTAGACCATCGAAGATATTGCTATTAGCGTCATATGACGTAAGCAGATGGTTGTTTGTACGATGAATAGAGAGGTAAATTTTGCATATATAAACCACCCAGTATTTCTATCATGGGTGATTACTCATTTCCGATCAATTAGAGTGCGGGGTTTGCTGATGAATGGTCTTGTGATGCAATCCGGGCTTTCCGAAAGCCGGCCGGCCACCCAACCAGCCAGCCAGCCAGCCAGATGGGGGACGCGGGGCCACGATGTGACATTAGTTGGCTGAGACCACAAACCTCGAGAACACATGGTTGCGCAGAAACGCTGGTATCAAACACAACGACAACATGTTGTAATTACAGGAGTAAAAGACTTCTTTGAGCCTCTAAGTTAAATCCATTTTTTTTTCTGTCCTAGAGGCGAACATTCGCCCCTTAACCCGCTTCTCCGCATGTGAAGACGCTGATTCGTCAGGCTTCCAGGCGCAGTTTGGAGGCAAGGGCTGCTTGCGCATATCTACATACTGAAAGTGTCGGGCTTTTTCAACAGCATCATGAACTTCCTACGCTGCTCATCGTATGTACCGTTTGCAAACGCCTAATAGTGGTCGACTCCATCACAACTTACATGGATCCTTAATTGATGCATTCAATCACGATGCCGTAAGATTCGTAAAATTCATTTAGCTACCCTATGTCAAAGCGTATCCTGTTCTACCCCAGGCATCTTCGTGAAATCGGGAATATCATACACATCCTCCATGGAAAGCCAATGCAAGACGTAGCGCCACTGCTCAAAGTGGCCGCAAGTGCCCGTTGTACCTCTCCAACTGTTCCAGACACACCGCAGCAGCGACATACTTCCAGCTCTTCAAGTTCCTGTAATTCTCCCAGCCAACGGTCTCTAGCGCTACCATAAAGCATGCAACTGAGCGCGGCAGCGCTTCCGAATCAGCATCATCGTCCCCATCTGTGTCAACCTTTACGATACTCTTGATTATACTGTTAACGTCACGATTGAAGCGCTCTTGAACCTCCTGGTTGGCTTCGCGGATGTAGCGTGATGGCGCGCGCTCTTTCTTACCCAGGATGTTACCACTGAACACCTCCAGCTCGGTGAGAGGCTGGCCGCGAGTCGGTCGAAGCGTATCCATGATTTCGAGTAGATTTTCCTCGTATGCTTCGCGGAGTTCTTCGGCGAAATCCCAATAGTGTTCCCATTGCACACCCTGAATTTCTCGGACGATATACCGCTCGAGCTTTCGCACCAAAGACTCACCAATCCTGGGACGACGCGTCTCGAAATTGTCCTTCAGACGTGCGAAGAACTTCTTCTCATCGATGGCGCGATACAGAACTCCGAGGATCTTGTCGCTCCGATAGTACCGACTTCGTGCTTTGTCTGGGTCAAGCACACTTACGCTGTCAGGATCGTCAATATCATCGCCCTCGAGCTCTTCAAGTTCGGTTGCACCCAATTCGTTGATAACTAGGTTTGACACGGGCGCCATAAAGTCCGGACGAATATGGTCAGCACCCCGCGGTATCGAAGCCATGTCGGCAGGAATTCCGGACTTGCTAAAGTCAACAGCGTCGGACGCGAGCTTAGCAAGAAGTTGACACTCTGTATCTTGAGTCCCAACAGGCGCTTTGTCAGCGCGAATTTTATGCTTGTTCGAGATCTGACCTAATCGATCCATGTTCATGTATTCTATGAAGAAGTTGACGATGTCATTGACCTCTACCGGACGGCCTAGATCTTTGGCTGGTGTCGATGGGTAATCCGCAGGCGGTACGGTGAAGTCGGGAATGAGTCGTGGATCGAAGATAATGTGAAAAAGATCTCCATCGAGATCACCGCCACTCAGCTGCGAAGGCAGATCTCGTGGACCTTGTTGCGAGAAGACAACGCAGTTGTGGAGCGCATGGAGGGGTGAGCCGTCCGGAACATCAACGGCGGTAACAAGCTGGACATCTCCTGGATGGAGTGCTGCAGAGATGAAGATGCGCAGTCAGTATCTGGATCACGTCCGTTTCGTACAGTCAAAACTTACCGGGTGCCCTGGTAATCACTACGCGATCACCGACAAGACGTTTCGTCTTCAATCCGCCATTCAGATCATAGTCTCGCGTCGCGATATAGACTTCCCCTTCGCGTAACGTGTTCGTCTCATCCATGATTCCGTAGAGAAGATAGCCTCGTTCGACAGGAATACGCGCGCGATATTTCATGCTCCTCAGATTCGCCATAGCTGCGACTTCTACAATGTCGGTAAGGAACTTATCTTCGTGAAAGGTCAGATTAATCTGATGCATCAACTGGAACAACTTGGGGACCTTGGCGAATACGCCAGAGTGCGAATATTCTGGCGAATGTTAGTACATTTCTTCATAGGGTGCCTTGGATTAGCTTCGAAATGACTCCGGTCTATGATGATGTATGTGCGTACTACACCGGATAACTTACCGAGAAAACTTGCAGCATTCAAAGGATGCTCTGTCATTCGCTTCAGGGTACTGACTGCTTCGTCTTGCACAGCCTTAAAATTCCTTGCCGGAACACCAAGATCTTCTAGGATCTTGATGAACTGATGATTTAGAAACACTTGTAAGGGCCTGTAGGCAGCTCCGCACAGCTCGAGAGCTTGCCAAGTTTCATTGGCGATGTATTTTGTCATGCTCTTTCGAACATGCAACTGCTCGCCTGGAAGAGATTGGTCGAGCGACAAGACACCCTTAGCCCCTCGGTAGCGGATCTGCAGTATGGTCGGCCTGAGGCTTCTTCGATCCGGGGGTAAAGCCTTCCACACTTTGCGCATCAGTTCAAGGGATATCGTTCCGCAACCGTCGCTAAATGTCCGACCATTGCGCACAATGTCGTCTTTGGTTTCGGTGGCGAACGCGGTCGATGGAACTTGAACCGAAAATATGGTATCTACATGTTGGTATACGGAGTCAGCATATCTCTAACATGCATTTAGCACTGATGTGTTACTTGCCAGAAAATGCTTGCCCAATTCTAGCCGCACATTTAGCGCTACAATGTATGTGTGTAAAGTCGCCCAAGTCGCGAATGACATCTCTTGCGTGAGCAGTGATGCCGTTCTTCTCGAAAGGAGCCATGAACCAAGCTTGGTGAGTTCGAAGCGATGCGTGGGAAAAGCCGAGAAAGTGAAAAGTCCGCCCGGCGACTGGAATACCATCCTGAAGCACGCCTTTAAAGCGTTCGTAGACCGTTTCCTGTGACGCTCGTGGGTCGTGAAATACCGACAACCCGTCCTCGTCGGCGAAGAACACACGCATGAAGTATTCGCTATGGGTGGCATACTTTCGCAAGATGCGATTCGAGGTACCCCAGTCAGGGCCACGCAGCAAGATACCTATATTTAATCTCAGTCATGTATTCGAAGATTTTGGGAACCACAGTGGGTAGAAAAGCCCATACCTGTGGGGGTGACCGTAGCCTTGTAAGTTGACACGAGATGTTGCTTGCTATGTTCAACACGCAAGTCTCGCGAAGTTACTTCGTGGAATTTACTCTTTGCGATGCTTTCACTGAGAACGTCCGTAAGAGTCTTGATCTCGAATTCGGCTGCCTCGACCCCTGGAGCAGGCGTAGGTATCTGATTCCCTAGGCGACGAACTGCGCTTGCAGTGAGATCTTCACCGTGCTGTCTCGCGATATTTTTCATGGCAGGTATGAGTTCGAACATCTTTAGCGGCGTAATTGTGCCCTCTAGCACGAGTGCTAATAGCTGATACCGGACCCTAAATTCGAAGGCCTCGCGAAGTTTGTTCTCGACAAACACATACTCAGCTTCGATGCTGTTCGTCCGATATGCGGGAACCATGGTCTTCCAACAGTGTATTTCCGGTACTGAGAAGTCCTTGACGAAGTTCCAAGCGAACCTTGCGGTTTGGTGGTTAGGAAAAGCAATTTTGTACACCATGCACAAAGCAGAGTTCTTGTCGTTCGCTTTGCTCAACTTGCAGAGCCTTTGCAGACGGAGAACCTTTTTCTGTGGCCTCATGTTCATCTTCGCTAGCAGGGAAGAAATGTCAGTCGGCTCGTGCGATGCTTGCTGGCCAGTATACAGGTGCAGATCATCTGTAGACTGGATCTCGTAGAACTTCGGAGGTGACTTGAGGGTGAATGTGATCGTTTCGTGTCTGCCATTGTCGGCTGACGGAATTGTATGCTCTATGATCGCGTAGGGAATGTCGATTCTGCAGTGCCAATTGAAGGTTTCGGAGACACCTGCTTGGAGATATATCTGATCAGGTCAGCAGCTGTAGCCCTGCCACGGCTGGGCTAGAAGAATAAGCTTACCACTAGAGCGCTCTTGCCAAACGTGATGAAACCATTCCTTTTATCCTTGAACTTCTGATCAAAAACGAGCTTGCCTAGGCGATCATAATCCCAAACACCTGTCATCAACGTACGAAAAGACAGTGTCGATAGTCCTGAAGGGCGCTGCAGCTTCAAGGTAGACGCCTGACTTCCCAGCTTCGATCTCTCAGCTTCTTCTCTTTCTTGCAATGACTTGACCTTGAGGGGATCCGGTTGACCAGGCCTATTACTCAGTTGAAACACAAGTCGCTGACCGTGAAACTCCAATGATTGAAGTGCTACGCGTCGTCCTCGACTGCCATAAAGTTGCAGAAATTTGTTGCCTTTAGCTGTGCTCGGTATGGTGAGAATGGCGAAGTGAGGCTTTCCATTGTGACCCCCATATTTCTGGATGTCGAACGCGAGCACCTCTAGTTTGAGGAGTAGGTCTTTCAAGAAGATCTTCAACTGGACATTATTGGCGTTCTTGGGAACCTATAATTAAAAGATCTGGTTAGCTAGCTGTTTACTACTTGCGCCCGATATTCGCTAGCCTAGTACCGTGGCTGGGACGCTATTAGCCCTACTCCAGCGTCGTTACTTACCTCTGGAATATAGATATCCATCGCGAAGGCCTGCGGCGCCTCGACAGGCTGATCCGCAGGATACCGAAGGATATGTCTCTGTTTGTACCGAAAGTC